ATTTATCAAATGAAAATAATAATATCACTTCCTTTATAAGGTTGCAATGTGGTTTAAATAAGTTATTGTAAAGGACTTAGAATAGTGTCTAGCATCATGTTCTAGGGGTGTTTTGGTAAATAAAATTCATTCACCATCTTAAAGAAATGGAGGGAGAAGGCAATCATTTTCATCTTGGTTTTACTGGGATGATTAAATGAAATCATAATAGGGAAACATTTTTGTAAGTGGTAATGTCACACACTGATGTGATCCATTATGAGATTTTCCCAAATCCACTTTACTAGCTGAACTATGGCCATAAAAGGGGCTATAGGGAAATTAAGAATGAAAAAATAACTCCAATGTGATAGTAAATTATATTTGTACCAATTGCCATTTATTCTAAGCTGAATGTATTATAATCCGAAATGAGGCTGCCTCATTAGAAGTAAAGTATTAAAGAATAGGCAAATGACAGGCTTTAAATTGCATTAAAATAAGTGCATAAGACTCTGTGAAGAACCAAGATGGTGGTGTAGATAAATACATGGTACTCACTGCCTCTCCAACAACCACATCAAAATTACAACTAAAACACAGAACAACCATCATTTAGAACCAGCTAAAAGCTGGCTGAATGGAAGTCCTACAACTAGAGAAGTAAAGAAGGAAGCACATTGAGATTGGTAGGAGAGGCAGAGGCACAGAATAGGCTGGACTGGCACCCACTTGTATCCCCTTTTAATCAGGAGGGAGACAGACTCTGTAGAACTGCCCATGAGGAGCAAGGGATCCCAGCCCTCTATCCCTGGGTCCCAGAGCTGGAAAGAGAAGGCCCTGCAACTTTGGGCCATAAAAATCAGTGGGGATTGGGGTGAGCGACACAGAGGCTGGTGAAGACCCAGGTGTTCCTTTTAAAGAACCAGGCAGGAACTTGCCCGGTCCTGCTTCTTCTGAGCTCCAGCACCAGGGGCACCCAAACACATATGAGAAGGAACTGAATTGACTGGCATCGGGGCAGGAACTTGGGGGAGGCTTTCTCACAGACAGGGCTGCTCACAGAGTTCACTGTTCTAGTGCTGGGACCTCCCAATGGAGTTTCCATCAGATTGGCCCAGACTGTTTGCTCCACCCTGGTGATTCCCTGAGACCTGCCCAATCCATTTTACAGCTCCACCCAACCTGTTTGTACCCCTTTTCCACACGAATGGCCTGTCCCTGCTCAGGTTTCAGACTTTGCTAAAATATCTCAAACAACCTAAAGCCGGTGATACTGTGCCCCAAACCTATCAATAAAAGGCCCAAGACCTAGCACTAGCACCAGCCTGTCTTGCTTCACAGCTACTCCTGCACAGTAGATCTTCCACTGTAGTTGCAGCTGGTCACAGCCAATTGACCTGGAGGCCAACTCCTTCCATAGATGCCAAGAGCAATCAAGGCTCAACTACAAGACTGTGCACACAGCCCACACAGGGGCGCTCCTGGTGAAAGAAATAGACTTACAAGTCCAGCAATCACAGAGAGTCCCAAACAAGAGGAACCCAAGACACTTCATAATTATAATGCCAAAGGTTAAAGACAAAGAGATAATCTTAAAAGCAGCAAGAGATAAGTATTGATAGTTAAGTTACCTACAAGGGAGTGCCCATACAACTGACAGCTGATTTCTCATAGAAAACTTTGCAGGCCAGAAGGGAGTAGCAAGAAATACTTGAAGTGATGAATAGCAAGGACCTACAACCAAGATTACTCTACCAAGCAAAGTTCTCAGTTAGAATTGAGGGCAGATAAGAAGCTTCACAAATAAGAAAAAGCTAAAGAAGTTCATCACCAGCAAAAAAATGAAATGTTGAAGGGTATTCAAGGAGGAGGAGGAGGAGGAGAAAAGATATGAACATTAAAATGGCAACAAATACATATCTATCTAAAAATTAAAATAAATAAACACAAAATGCAATGAACAAAATAAACTGGTGAATAAAGGAGAATCAGAGGCATGGAAGTATGGAACAGACTGATGAATCTCAGAGGAAAGGGGGCAGAGGACAGAAAGAGATAACCAAAGATCTTACCTATGGACTCAGATTTTGGGTGGTGAAGGCCCAGGTGGGGTGGGAACTGGGCGGAAGGGAGAAGGGGGAACATGTGTAATACTTTCAACAATAAAGGGTTTTTAAAAAAGAACTCTGTGAGATATGATTTTAATTTCTTCTTTATACTTTTCTAAAATTTTCCACTTTTCAATAAAATATATCACCTTGGAATGAATTAAAATTCTAAAAAGAATTTACACTCACACACACACACACACACACACACACACACAAACATACAGGCACACACATACACACATATGAAGGAGGGAACTGAACCTTAGTGAGATACAATACAAATAAATATCAATATTAATTCACTAGTCAAACTTCTTTTCAGGTCAGCTGTAGTATGGTTATTAAAATGATTCTCACCCCCCCTCAAAAAGACAGTCAACTTAAGAATGACCACTAGTAGGTGGAAGATTATAAGAATAGCACCTAGAATGTTTCCTGGGAAGAAAAGGGTGTGTAATCCAACAAAGGAAGAAGTATTGACAAGGCTGATTAGAATCACAGAACCACAGAGTTGGAAAGAGGCTGAAAAATCATACAGTACAACTCTCCCATCCAAAACCTTGTGCAATTTTTCTGACACCACATCTTCTATTATCAGAATCACCTGGAGGAATTTACAGAAAAATAAAGATTTCCAGGACCCATCCAGGCAGACTGAATTAGAATCTTAGCGTGTGTGTGTGTGTGTGTGTGTGTGTGTGTGTGTGTTGGAGGGGGAAGATGTGGAGGGAAGGTAGGAGATCAGCATATGTAAGTTTTTATAATGTTCCCTGGTGTGAAAATCATTATTCTAGCTCACTATCTTTCAGGGACTCCACATCATCTCTGAGCAGCTCTGACTGTGAGTGGACCAAAAGCACTTAAACATGAGCTGCAGTCTATTCCCACATAGCTTTCCTTCCCCACCCATTTCATCCTTGGGGCTTTTTTCTACAGAGCAGCCCCTCAGAGAAGCTTTGGTTAATTAAATCATACCAAATAAAAATGCATGTTGCTTTGACATATTCTTTTTTGAAGTAAATGAAAACGGGGAGACACAGAATGTTAACTAGGGCTGAGAGAAATGCTTTGAATACAAAACAGTTCAGAAAACATTACAAGCCATGGCACAAACTATGAACGTCCTCTCAAAGCAACGTGAGGCAGCCATCTAGGCGCCCAGAGGTTGAAAGAGCCCCAGGGCTCTGCCTGCGGGTGGGAGAGTCCTAGGCATGGGCAGGGAGGTGGGGAGGGTCCCTGCAGCTTCAGTTGCTTCTCTGCAAGTCCACCCCTCAAGGTGAGGGAGCAGCTGTGAATAGTTGGCCTGCTACTCCCCTCGCCCCTCCCATCCCCAGACCCTTTCTCCCCAGGCTGCCAGGCCACAGGTAGAGAAAGATAGGAGACCAGTCTCCTCTGGGGGGTGCAAATGCTCTTGTGGGGTTATTCTTCGGTGTAATTTACACCTTTCCATTGTGGTTCGAGCCAGCTCAGTCACTGGACCACGTTGTGTGTGGGAGCACTTACATTCTTGACTGAGGATTTAAAAAAAAATATATTTTATTGATTTTTCACAGAGAGGAAGAGAGAGGGATAGAGTTAGAAACATCGATGAGAGAGAATCATCGACCAGCTGTCTCTTGCACACCTCCCACTGGGGATGTGCCCGCAACCAAGGTACAATGCCCTTGACTGGAATCGAACCCGGGACCTTTCAGTCCGCAGGCTGATGCTCTGTCCACTGAGCCAAATCGGTTTTGGCTTTACTGAGGATTTTAACAGAAGTTTTGGGGGTCTGGATGGGAGGGGGACCCTTTGAGAAACCCGCAGCGCATGGTGACTGCTCTGAATGAGCATTATTCCCGACTTTCATTTCTTGCCATCTCTCTTCTCTAGGGCGCAGATAATTTGGTTCTTAGTCAGACTCTGGGGGAAGGGAAGTTCCTTTCTTCTGGTGAAGATTAGAAGCTGCGATGGATGAAGGACTTGGCTGTTCTGAAGTACATTCCTGCCTTTCTAAAGCATAGTTGAACAGATCCTTAGCAAAGAAAGAGTATAATACTCTGGACTTAGGAAACACGGAACTAAATATCTGAGTGGAGTGAGTGGAAAGGTGAAGGTAGGGTGTAACTAAAGGAGTGAAAAGCAACTGTAAACTCAGTCTTTCCACCTCACCTGATTTCATAGCTCGTGTCCCAAGCATCTGGATTTGGAATGGAATGTAAGTTTGTACTTGATTTCCTTCAATATTTGCAGGTAATACACAACCAGGGTCTTATCTTAGTCAACAATCTACTTTCTTTGGCTTTTACCTGGTCTTTCTAGGAAATTACCTGTTAAATTTTGAACCTTTGGGCCAAAACCGGTTTGGCTCAGTGGTAAAGCGTCGGTCTGCGGACTGAAAGGTCCCGGGTTCGATTCCGGTCAAGGGCATGTACATTGGTTGCGGGCACATCCCCAGTGGGGAATGTGCAGGAGGCAGCTGATCGATGATTCTCTCTCATCGATGTTTCTAGCTATCTAACCCTTTCCTTTCCTCTCTGTGAAATATCAATAAAATATATTTAAAAACAATTAAAAAACAAATTTGAACCTTTGGAATAAGCCTTCTGAGGGTGTAAATCAGCATGCAAGCTGATGGACATGATCTTGCAATTGGGAATGCTGGTGGAGGTTGAGGAAGGCAGTGCTGGCGGGTCCTCTTTTTTTCCTTTGTGCCCTGTCACAGTCACCCGTTTCAGTAAAACCCGAACATGAAGGGAGTGAGACTATTTAATTTGTGTCACGTGTCCCCACTAACCATTTCCCCGCAGACGGACTATCCCACTCACAGCGATCATTGTGAACAGTTTGCCGCACGTCCACCCTCCCTCAGCTCCCCTCTCCGCAGAGCGGAAGGGCGAGTGCTCTGAAACGGAGAAGCCTTCTTACCTCCGCTTGCTGGGGATGACCCCCATCTCCTCGCTGTCTCCATCCAGGGTGACTCTTCGGGCTTGCCACCACTCATCATCAGAGGCGTTGATCACGTGGAGAATGTCTCCGTATTTAAAACTAAGACCTTGACTTGGCAGCCCACTGTCCTTGCTCTTGTCATAGTCAAACATGGCTCTGGAGGGGATAAAAAGAGAGGACACAGTTAGGATTCTCTGGAGCACAGAGTTAGGGTTCCCAGTTTTGATTTTTCACTCTTGCCCTGAGCATGCAGCTTTTAAGACCAACTCCCAGATTGCAGTCCACGCTCCCACTGCTTTGGTCACAAATGGAGGTCAGTTCTCGCTTCTCCTTGGTGGTTGCAAGGGGAGCCTCTCTAGACTCCTGAAACTGGGGTGCTTCTCTTGGAGACTATCATTGTAACAAGGTGGTAATAGGAGATGGTAAAGCTAGTTTAATACCTGATGACTCCCCCCCCCCCCCCTTGTTTTTCTTTTCTACTATGGTCAATTTTTTAAAATCATAAAAAACAAGGAAGCCATGAAGAGAAGCATGGGCATCTTTCTGAATGAACCATTTGTGTTACGGACAAATCCTCTCTATTGTTCCACTCTGTAGAACCCTTTCCTTTATAATAGGGAAAAATGGTAAAAACTCAAATGTCCACTCAGGGGACTGTGATCCTCCATGCAACTGGGATACTGGTCCATCACTGAGAGTGGATGGTGGCAGAGGTTAATATCATGCCATGAGTAAATGCTTAAAATGCAAATCTATACACCTATGTTTATGTGTGTGTGCATAGATAGATCAAAATTACACAGACAAGACAACTCTTGCTGCTTCCACAGAATGCTGAGCCCACCTCATCACTGCAATTATCACTCTGGGTCATATGTCTTGCTTTATGTATCATGCTTTCCCTACCGAAGAGCATTTGCTTAGCCTAGCAAAGCCCAACACATGTATGACTGGTGAGGTGAGAGAGTTGGAAGCAGAATTAAAACTATGATGGAGACCTTATAATAACCAGCTGTTGCTGTTAGAAAGTACAGTTTGTCTCAAATCCTATCCTGGCCCCCTCCTCCTGTACGTCCCACTCTCACAAACCACCACCACCACACAGCATACAATTTCTCTAGAGAAGCAGATTTTTCCATTTTCCTCTTAATTCCCCTGTGATTCCATTCTAAGAATTTCCCTGGAGTGCAACCACTATGCAAGAAAAAATTAACTAGATCTGGGAAACAGACTTTTCTAATATCACTGAGGAATAAGTGGGGTTCTTTTCATTATTTTTTCCTCCTTATGAACGAAATGCCACATCTGCTGTCATGGCAACCGAAAAGAGCCGAAGGCAGCATCTAAAGCTCTGAAATGCTGCAGGAAAAGTCGAATTCCTTGCAACCCCGCCCCTTCTTCCACTAACTCTATCCCCATGGGAGGAATATGGGGGAGGTTTTCAGTTTTGGCCCCAGAAGGACTCCTTTCTATTGTACCTTGGCCATTTGCATGTTCCCACCAAAAGTTTCAACAAAGCCTACGCCAGGAACGTAGGGCGGGAGAGGACAGAGACCCACTCTGGAAATTGTCACTTCTCTGGCTGGGTGATGTGGCATAAATTAACATTCCTGAGCCACAGGTTTTTTCATGCCAAATTAGTCCAATAGCTATCTTCACGGGGAGCTGTGTGAGCATTAATAAAATAGCACATACAAAGCACCCCACCCCTGGCAGGTGCTGCATAGCAGAGTGTAATACAGGGGTTAAGAATATAGACTGAGGATCCAGAGATAGAGCATCTATCAGATTACCAAATCTCAGAAGGGAGGTAAAGAAGGGTGGGGGTAAAGGGAAGAGATCAACCAAAGGACATGTATGCATGCATATAAGCCTAACTAATGGACGCAGACACCAGGGCAATGAGGACATGAGTAGAGGGATGGGGGGGACAATAGGGGATAAGGACACATATGTAATACCTTAATCAATAAAGAAAAAGTAATAAAAAAAGAATATAGACTGAGGGGCCACACTGTGAGGGCCATAACTTGGCCTATGACTTCCTACGAGTCATATAGCTGGTCACCCAGGTGAGCTACTTACCCTCTCTTAGGGCTCAGTTCTGCCTTAGGTAACAGAGTGGTGGTAACAGTACCTCCATGAAGGAATTGTATGGATGAAATGTTACCTAAGGCAATGCATGAAGAGCATGCACAGCAGTACCTGGCTCATAGTGACAATAAGTATGAACTGTTATTATTATTTGCCCTTTCCCTTTTGAGTGTATATTCACAAAAATTCTTTCCATGAGTGTTGTTTATCTTGGACAATTTTCCCCTTTGGGATCACACCGATTCAGGCTTGTCAGGTCCCTAAAAAACAAGCAGCTGACACGTTTCCACAGTGCCTGGCTCTTTTGGATATTAATGGATCATCACATCTGGGAAAAATGCTCCAATGCCTCATCGCTTAATTTAAAAAGCGATAAGCTGTTTTTAATTTGCTTTATGTGCTAATTCATCACAGTAACTTTTATAAAATGCCATTAAGATTCACACTTCCCACCCAGGGTGCTTTTAACAAGTCCATTAGACAAGAGGAATTAGATATGAATAATGCAGTGGCTCTCCCATCCTCCTGCCCCTCCTGCATTTCAGTGTGTGGTGGCCCTGGGCCAAGCCAGGGAGTCTAGGGAGGGAAGAGGAAAGCTGCTCATCCTCAAGGCTGAGGGCCGTGGCTGGGAGATACTTGGGACCTGATGAAACTGTGCTTAGTAAGAGCCCACAGTGTGCTAAGGACTCTATATTCATTGTCTCACTCCATTTCCCGGGGTGGAAGACAACAGTTGGGTTATATGCTAAGTTTTGGAGAAAGAAGAGACCTGGGTTGAAGTCCCAACTCTGCCAATCCTAGTTGTGAATTTCAGGAGGTATGTTACTTCACCTCTGAGATGGCCTCTGAACCATAGATGACAACTCCCTATCGATGAAATACAGATAATGAGGACATTAACTCAAAAGATTGTTATAGACACACAACAATGGGAAGATGCACACGAAGTGCCCTGCACCAAATAGAATGAATTTCATTTTATTACTTCTGATAGCGATCCTGCCATGCAAGCAGTTTTGATCTCATAAAGGAAATGAGACTCAAAGATCCAAAATGAAAAAAAAAAAAAGGCAAAAAGCTAGTATGTGGCAGAACCAAGATTGAAATATAGATAGATGTGTCTGAATCTAAAGCCCAGCTTGGAATTCTCGATTAGGAGTATGGGACTTAGACTTATCTGAGGACTTTGTGATTTGATGGTCACATTTATGAGAACACCATGGACTGGATTCCAGGAGAGAGGTGTGGGTCATTTATTAAGTGCACATTCAGTTCAGCCCTGTATTACAGAAAATACAGATTTGGGTAATCTAAGTAGCATATCCTGAGTCACACCAAAGTCACACCAGCTGTCAAGTAGTGAGGCAGAACTCAGCTCAAAACCTGTCTACCTCTGTGAGGCCAGAGAACTTCCTGTTAACCAACCCGTGTGTTTTTGCAAGCAATCTTCTCCAACCCCAAACATCCACACACTCTTTTGTGCTAAGACTGCAGTAACGTTTAATAACCATGGGTCATGATAGCATGCTAGCCAGAGGATCGATTTTGGCTGAACCACTTTGAGATTGGCATAGTGGAATGACAAGGGTGGAGAGAACTACAGGGATAGTAGCCCTAAGAACAAGAAAAAGCACAAGACGTGTCTCATGGTTGCCCAGGATATGGTAGGAAGAATAATCCCCAAGCCTCTCTTGCCAAAGGTGTCCACACCTTACTCCCCAGAACCTGTGACTATGCTACTTTACTATACGGCAACAAGAGATCTGCTGATGTGATAAGGGCTAAGGGTCTTGAGATGGGGAGATTATTTAGGATTATCTGGGGGGAGCCAATGGAGTCTTTAACCATGGAAAAGAAAACAGAAGAATAGGTCAGATGGATGCTACATGAGAAGGACTAGACCGCCATTGCTGGGTTGGGAGATGGAGGAAGATAATTTGTTACATCAGTAAAAGGAAAGGGATAGCAGAAGACAAGACACACATTGATTTACAAGAGGGCTGGTAGAAGGCAAAGCCCACCAGTTTAATGATCCTCTCAAAGGCTCTTTAGAATATTTAGAATAAAAACTAGTCAGTGATAATAACAACAACCTACTGAGTACCTGCCATTTGGCTGGCCATGTGCAAAGTACCATTTCTTCACATAATTTTATCTTATTGAATCCTTGAAAATAGCTTGAAATATAGGTATGATTATTTCTACTTCACAGTTAAAAAGTTAAAGCTTTAGCCCAGCTGGTGTTGCTCAGTATTTGAGTGTAGATCTATGAACTAGGAGTCAGGTTCGATGGTTGATTCCTTGTCAGGGCACATGCCTGAGTTGTGGGCTCCATTCCCCAGTGTGGGGTGTGCAGGAGGCAGTTGATCAGTGATTCACTGTCATCATTGATGTTTCTATCTCTCTCTCCCTCTCCCTTCCTCTCTGAAATCAATAAAAAAACCCCACAAAAATATACAACTTAAGGCTTTGATTTTTTACGTTTATATTTCATCCAAATTCTCACAAAAATCCTATGAGAGAAATATTATTGTCCCTATTTCATGATAAGAATACTGACACACAAAAGAAGCAGTCATTTTCACTTCTTAAATTGCAAAGCAGTCTGCTGGCTCCTTGAAGTGGGAAGCCCATTCAAGACTGGGAGTGTGATTCATCTACTGTGCTGGATCAGAAGCCACTGCGGGTCAGAAGCTCCCAAGTCTAGCCTTTGCAAATGCATTTATAAAGGAACAAATGAACCAGCAAATTACCCCCTCCTGGGCTGTGAACTGCTTGGGCTGGAGAAGCTTTGGTTTCCATGACAACTTTAAGGTCCAAGAAGCAGAGTGCTCCAACTCAATTTCCTGTCTTTTGAAGTGGAAGCTTCTGCTTGATGAGAGGAGACCAGGTTCTCATCTTTCCATGCAGCAGGAGAGAGAACAAAAGCAGCTGGACAAAGTCTTCTCTCTGCTCCTCCCACTGTGCCTGGCTTGGATGGGTGTGTTCCATTGGTAAGGGAAGGGGCTCAGGATGGTTCAAAATGCACAGAGGTTGGAATAAAGGGACCCATTCAAGTGAGC